AAACGCCCTGTTCCTTGGAACGACGAACTTAATCAGGCATTTGAAAAATGTAAACACGACCTTAGTAATGCTGCAACTCTCTCCTATCACTCTCCTAACCAAAAGCTGAGTGTTATGGTCGACGCTTCTGACATTTCCATCGGAGCTGTCTTAAACGTTCGACATTCTAATGACTACCAGCCGCTAGGATTTTTCTCACGGAAGCTGTCCCCTACAGAACAAAAATACAGCACGTATGACAGAGAATTATTAGCTATTTACGCAGCTATTAAGTATTTCAGGCATAATCTTGAAGGTCAACACTTCACTATATTTACCGATCACCGACCTCTAACTTATGCATTCACATCAAAATCAAATTCTGCTTCCCCAAGACAAATTCGGCATTTAAATTGTATAGCTCAATTCAGCACTGATATTCCACATATATCAGGTTCCAGCAATGTCGTTGTGGATACTCTCTCACGTATTCAGGGCATCGATGCCAATGCACCACTGGATTTCACGCTTATTGCTCACTCGCAAGCCACTGATGAGGAGTTAAAACGTCTGAGTGAAGACCCAAACTGCTCGCTGAAATTCCAGTCATTACAACTTACTCGGGACCTCCAACTATTGTGCGATACCTCCAACAACAGACTGTGACCTTATGTACCACTTGAGCTCAGGAAAAAAGTTTTGACTGTTTTCACAACCTACCGCACCCAGGTATCCGGGCTTCCAAAAAGCCATACAAGAAAGATTCGTTTGGCCATCCATGCTAAAGGACATTGCCAACTGGACTCGTTCCTGCATCATGTGCCAACGTTCAAAAGTTACCCGGCACACACACATAGCCCTTTGGAAAAAATTGCGATGCCATCCGAACGATTCGACCATGTCCATATAGACATCGTCGGTCCTCTGCCACCATCTGACGGTTATCCAATCGATATCTACTCACCTGCATTGACAGATTTACTCGTTGGCCTGAAGCTTTTCCCATTCAGGACATCTCTGCTGACTCTGTGGCTCGACAATTCATCACCCGGTTGGATTGCACGATTTGGTGTACCATCAGTTGTGACTACTGATCAAGGTCGACAATTCCAGTCACACCTTTTCGCTTCTCTGACATCTATGCTTGGAATACGCCGAATTCGCACTTCACCATACCATCCTTCCGCCAACGGCTTAGTGGAACGCTTACATCGCGACCTGAAAGCAGCCTTGAAGTGCCGTAATGACACCCGTTGGACTACTTCACTTCCTCTTGTGCTTCTTGGTTTGCGTTCTTCTTTCAAGCAAGACCTCGCAGGTACATCCGCTGAACTTGTCTACGGCACACCCCTTCGATTACCATCTGAGTTCTTTCAGCCATCCTCTGCTTCAGTCGATCCAGCATCCTTTGTCCAGACTTTCCGAGAGGCGATGAAGAAGAGCTGTCTCCGACTCCTACTTCGTGCCACAACAAATCTGCCCCTTTCGTGCACCACGCACTGAGCACTTGCACTCACGTGTTTGTGCGAAACTGACGCGGTCAAAAACCACCACTCACTCCTCCATATGATGGACCCTTCAAGGTCTGTGCACGTAACAATAAGCATTTCACCGTTCTCGTGCGCGACAAGGAAACCGTTCTGAGGCATAGATCGACTGAAGCCTGCTTTCTTCGAAGCTTCAAACACTCAGGTTCCTGTGACCAGCAATCCTCCTGACTTCCCCGGATCCAACTGCTTTCTCCGGATACTCCTCCTTCGAATCGACCTTACGCTTCCTCCCAGTGCTCCACCAGTCGTCACACGATCGGGAAGACGTGTGTGCGCTTCAACACCAGATATTTGTGAACTGATTTTTTTCATCGTACCTTTGGTACTCGAGGGGGGGAATACTGTGGAGAACTCTTTATTATTATTATTTGTCCGCTGTCCCGAGAGAGGGCGCTACCAGCTTTCTCCCTCTTCCTCTCTGGAGGAAAATTCGAACTGGTTACTTGGTTCCTGGCTGCCATCGGTGAAGCACGCGCTCACCTCTCTTTACCTCCGTGATGTTATCGTAGCTGTAATATGACTTTCTTGATTTTTACTCATGCAGACTTGCGAACTGAAAAAATGCTCATCTTATAACTACATGCAATGTGATTTTCTATAAGTGAATATATGTCATCCTAGAATTAAATATAAATGTTAATAGTTCTGAGTCAGATTTTATTAACATTCAACGTGCAATCAAAAATGGCATCCATCAACAACAGCCATAGTTACAAAGAATCAAGGATTCACCAGCAGCCGAGTGGTAAAGTCGCTGAATACTGGTAATTGTGATGTTCAAATCCCGCAAATGAGCTGGCTGTATGTGCATTTTCGTGGTTATCCCCATGTGTAATGTGTATACAAGCCAGTTTCCCTTTGTAAGTCCTTCATGAAGGCATCCCTCCCCTTTGGCAGATAGCCCTTGAGTTTTTTGCCATAATTGAGTGCTTTGCCATTATGCCCGACCATAAAGAATCGCAGCAAAAGATCTCAGACAGTTGTTCTCAGTGTTGAGACATCATACTTACATATTATTGGGCCTAAACTGCATTGTCTGGAAAACAGTTTCTACTTGCTGTAAGTGATTGATGGGATATTATGTAAATACCTCCAAATTTTTTTTCTTACTTCATTTCTCAGTTATAATAATTCTCAATAACAGATAATGTTCAAGCGATATTTTAAAAAAAGGCCTTGTTACATTTTAAATATTTTTATTACATTTGTTCTTCAATAACTTTAAAGCTGCTTTGAGGATTTTCAAACAGTTAGATATATATATATATATATATAACAAAAAGAAAAGGGAACATAATACAAACATTTGAAAATCACTAATAAATAAAATACCAATAAAAACCAAATAAATAAATAAATTTTGTGATTAGAAGACCAATAAATGTTAAAAGCATACTTATTATAAAGCATGCATTAGAATTAAAATTTGTAATAGTTAAACATTTTTAAAAAATCAAATGATACAAAACAGTTATGAGTGATATGGATATATAACAATCACACTGAAAATGATTTTTATTTAATAAATATTTAATAAAATAAAATGTTAATGAAAATAATGTTTTTTAAATATACGAACATTGAAAACAAAGACTATGTCAAAGAAATTTAAAAAATATCTTTTAGTCTATTTAGGCTACATGGAATACATAAAGGAATAGCATTTTGCAAAAAATACTTTCTGTCTTAAGTTAAAAAGGAAGATTAATATAAAAGAATAATTACAGTATAAATGATGTGGAATATGAACAAATTTCTGTTCATTTTTACAAGTCTGTAAGAAACATAATTTCCATAATAAAGTATAGCCAAGTTTAATAAGACTTTTCCATATTTATTTAGAAGTATCAAAAAGAAAAATTGTACTATATTTTTAGGGCATGCAAAATATTATCTGAAGTTATTAAAGATTTCTCCAAAACTAACTAAACTTTTATCCATGAAACATGCCCATTTTTTTAAATTTTAAATTGGTGCAATTGCCTGTAAGATATTTTCCTGCATTTAGGTGAATGAAAAATGTACCTCTTAGATAATCATGAAGTGTAAAATATCTATACACATATTTTTCACTTTAGGCCACTTCCTGTTATTAAAGATATATCGGAGTGCCCCCCTTTTATCGACTACAAAAGAAATCTCAAGAAGATTTTTACTTTTACGTATAAAGGTAGAAAGTAAAAACTGTTCAGTGTATAATTTGCGGAATGTTTGAAGAAAGAATGACTTTAATTGCACACACAAAGATTTAACATAAATTTTCAAGATGCTTTGATTGGCTGTGAAGTACAAATTCTCAGCCTAAGCAGTATGAAGCATATTTTTATATTTCAAGCTCTTCTCTCTTCATCAGACTTTGAGATTAAGACAGGCAGATTGACAAACTGTAGAGATTCAATTAATAGTGCTTCTCTTTCTTTTAAATAATAGTCTCCTACATCCCTCACAGTGAAATGTTAGTTACTTAGCTGAATATCATCATTGCCATCATTACAATAAGTACACTCTGCTTCTTTCCAGTAATGGAAAAGTTGAAACTATACTACATACACTCAAAAGTCGTTAATTCGGACACCCATAATCTGGAATGATCTATAATCCGAACCTCAGAAGCTACAAACTTTCTGCGCATACGTCGCGTTGACGCATGCGCATAAGACCTTTATGGCTGCGAATATGCATGTGCGCATGCGCAAAATACGTTTACGAATGTGCCTTTAATGTATAACAAATGGTATAAGCTAAGCTAAAATTATCTAATTATCTATTTCAGTTAATGTTGTAGATTGCGTTGTTTTCTTAATCTTCGAATTGGATCCGGCTTATTATTTTTTGCAGACTGTTACAGCAATTTTATAAAAGTAAGCTTGAACTTTCAATTATATCAAATAGAATTTCCGATATATATTTACTAATATGTAAAGGATCTACAAAGCGAAAGTATGTTTCGAAGTCCATTAAACAAAAAGTGGAATTGCTGCAAAAAATGGATAAAGGCATATCCTTTGTTTCTCTAACCATTCCGAAATCTGTTTATTAATTTCATGCTGTTCTGCAGCGGGGGAGGGGGGAACGCCGCGGCGCGCAATGAATTGGAAGTTGATCTGTCAGCACTATCCTTATCTTCAAATTCCTCGTCATTATAATTCGCTTCCGATAGTGAAGAAAGTGACACAGAAGTTATTGAAAACAAAAAAATTTCGATTGACAAATTAGTCGGTATTCTCGACATAGCAATTATAGGACTTGAACAGCGGAAATTTGTAACTGAACAAGAAATTATGTCTGTTTATAGAATTAAAGAGAAAGTATTATCACATAAAATGAAGCAACTTAAACAACTTACATTAAAAGAAATGTTTAATAAAGTAAACACATAAATATTAAGCATATTTTTTGTAAATTCTGATACCCTTTAGATCATAATTATTCTTTATTTCATAAATTATGGTTTCATATTTTTAATTTTATAATTTCTGCATGCCATTTTACCAGATTTAAACTGATGATCTATAATCCGGAATCGCCGAAGTCCCGATGAGTCCGGATTAACGACTTTTGACTGTATACTATTTCTATTTATTTTCAGCTTTAGATTGTACATCTCTCATATAATTTTTGTTACTAATAGTATATCTGGCTTTATGTTTAGTAATACAGTTTGAAAGTTTTCTCCCCTACTGGGAAATATTTAAAAATTTCCTCCCATATAAATTAGTGCTCACTGCTTCTTTTATTTCAGACCCTTTTCACTTACATGAAGTTTCATAGGAATGTTAAAAATCTTTAAAGAAAAGACCTAAATTTCTGTTGTGGGAAAATGTCTTATATTTTTATCATCAATACTTAATGCAATTTTTAATACTTTATGCCCCCTTTGAAATCACACTTTCACACTCAAATTTCTTGATCTCAAAAATGCCATAGAATATATTAAAACAAACACTTAAATATTACATAAATTTATAATTGAATATTATTAAAATTAACTATGCCCTATGAAAATGCAAAAATAAAATCATAGCTTAGAAATTTCAGAGATATGCATCTTAAAGAATTTATCAATATATGGAGCTACACGATCAGGATGATTTAAATGAACAAAATGATTGCCTTCAACTTTCACTAAATCAAAATTTTTACAATTATGTCTATATATATTTAAAAATTCTTCTAAAACTTCAGGTGTTCTTGACAAAAAAATCTTTGAATTTTTTCCTAATATGATCAATAAATTACATTTTAGCCTACACATAAAAGCTTTTAAATCTTCATGACTAAGTTTCTGCAATTCTTCAGTTGCTTTGACTCTTATGTCTCTTGAAAAGACAACTCCTTTGCCACAATCAGATGGTCGACAACCCCTTTTCAAAAGAATATTAGCAGATTCTAATGTGATTTCTTCATACATTCCAGCAAGCAATCGCTCCTGTGCTTCTTCAAAGCTATACACAGGTGTTGGATTAGGGATTTTTGCTTCATACTTTAACAAACTCTCAATTCCTCTACGTGTAACTTCAGGAAGTCTTTCAGGTGAACGAGATGCAGGTTTGATTATATCAAGTAGAACTATATTACAAACATTTTCTGGAAAAATACTTGCATACATTAAAGCCAATGTGCCACCCATACTATGTCCAACAATACTGAATTTTTCCCATTTTAAATAATCTACCACACGTTTAATGTCAATTAGCATTTCCATATAATGATAAAATGTTCCATAAGGCTTATGTGATGATAGACCGTGTCCTGGAGCATCAAATGCAACAATATACAATTTTGATGTTAGAAGAGGAATTAGTGTATCAAATGTGCCAGCATTATCCTGCCATCCATGCAAGGCTAAAACAGGATGAGACTGCTTTTCTCCCCATACTTTTGCTGCAATATGACCATATGCAACAGGTATGCGTAATTCTTTAAGATTTGACCACTGACTAGTAGACATATTTCTGCGATTTTTAACAGCCTTTGGCAACTTCATGCAAGAATAGTAGAATCTGAAAATATTTACATATATTAATAATGACAAAATGAATAAAATACAGTACAAAGTCTGTAATCCGAACGTCCATTATCTGGAATGATCTATAATCCAGACCTCAAAGCCACAAACTTACACATGCGTGTAAAGCATTTACCCATACGCGCTTGTAATAGTGAAGAAAGTGACAGAGAGGTTATTAAAATGAAAAAATTTCGATTGACAAGTTAGTCGGTGTTCTCGACAAAGCAATTACAGGATTTGAACAGTGGAACTTTGTAACTGAACAAGAAATTATGTCTGTTTAATAGAATTAAAGAGAAAGTATTATCACATGAAACGAAGCAAAACTTAAACAACTTACATTGAAAGAAATGTTTAATAAAGTAAACAAATAAATATTAAGCTTTTTTTTTGTAAATTTTGATACCCTTTAGATCATAATTGCTTTTTATTTCATAAATTATGGTTTCATATTTTTAATTGTATAATTTCTGCATGCCATGTTACCAGATTTAAATCGATGATCTATAATCTGGAAAAATCCCTAATCCAGAATCGCTGAAGTCCCGACGAGTCCAGATTACGGACTTTGCACCGTATATAACATTACTTATGTCAAACAGCAGTTTCCAACAGGTTTTGTGCAGCAACATTAAAATACTTAAGAATGGTTTTAAACACACACAATGGAAATTTTATAAATTGTAACACAATTATAAATTTGTATGCCTTCATATCCATTATTACACTTATTGTGCCTATCCTAAAAATTATGGACAAAATAAAGATCTTAAATTCCATCACTGCCTCTTTTACTGGAAAAATTCTTAGTAGGCTTTGCCCAACAACATTAAAATATTTAAGAAAGATTTTAAATACACACAATGGGAATTTTACAATTGTAACACAATTATAAATTTGTAAGCAGAGGCGTAGCTAGGATTTTCAGCGCCCGGGGACAACTGAAGATTTTGTGTCCCCTTCTGTGTCTAAAATTTCTTAATTGCAGTTTGACGTCCTCTTGATGTTATGCCTGGGAACAGATGTCCTCCCTTGCTCCACCCTAGCTACATCACTGTTTGTAAGCTTTCATATCCATTATTGCACTTAGTTGTGCATGTTCCAAAAATTATGCAGAAAATAAAGATATAAAAGTCTATTACTGCCTCTTTTATTGAAAAAATATCTCCAGCAATGCCTTAGCATCACCCCAATAAAATATATTACATATACTACATAAATGCATGTAAACATATATAATACAAAGTCCGTAATCCAGACGTCCATTATCCGGAATGATCTATAATCCGGTCCTCAAAGCCCCAAACTTTTTTTTGTATGCTTTATGCATGCGCGTAATGCATTTATGCATGCACATTTAATGTATAACAGACGGTATCAGCTAGGCTAAAATTATCTTTACTGATTCTAAGGCATTTCAGTTAACGCTGCAGATTGCGCTGTTCCTTTAATCTTCTAATTGGATTTGCATTATTATTTTTTGCAGACTGTTAGAGCAATTTTATAAAAATTAAGCCTGAACTTTCGATTATGTCAAAAAGAGTTTCCAATTCTGGAGAGCTGCCAAAGGATCTACAAAGCGAAAGCATGTTTCGACGAACCGCTTCCGATACTGAAGAAAGTGACAGAGAGGTTATTGAAAATGAAAAAACTTCGATTGACAAGTTAGTCGGTGTTCTCGACACAGAAATTACAGGACTTGAACAGTGGAACTTTGTAACTGAACAAGAAATTATGTCTGTTTATAGAATTAAAGAGAAAGTATTAGCACAAAAAACGAAGCAATTTAAACAAATTACATTGAAAGAAAGAAATGTTAAATACAGTAAACAAATAAATATTACGCTTTTTTTATTGTAAATTTTGATACCCTTTAGATCATAATTGCTCTTTATTTCTTGAATTATGGTTTCCTATTTTTAATTGCATAATTTCTGCATGCCAACTTACCAGATTTAAAGTGATAATCTATAATCCAGAAAAACCCCTAATCCGGAATCGCCGAAGTCCCGACGAGTCCGATTATGGACTTTGTACTGTATATATAATATATATATATAACAAAATATATATTTATTTTTTCCAACTCTTATGTTTTTGCAATTTTTTAATTTTTCATGCATTTGTAGCCAATCAGTGGTTCAGAGATTAAACTGCAAAAACATGCAAGAAGCTAAACTGCAAAACACTAGTAATTATAGTTCGCCCACATGCAAGCTTGGGTGGTATTCAGCCCAAACACTTAGAATCACCTAGAAGGGGTGCTAGTTACGTACTACAGAGTGAGGGGGTTACATGAGAGTTCTCTCTTTGCTGGAAAGAGGGAATTTACTACTAAAGAAGGAAAAGCTCACATGCCATTGGGTGATTCTGTCATCAGCTGTTTTTCAAGCCTTTGGCTTATTCACAGAAAAAAATGCTAAGATTCACATTGATTTCTAACATGGAAAGAAGAATGTTAAACTTTTTTTCATTTAATTTATGAATATGTGAATGCTGCATATTTTATTCTTTACTTTTAAAAATATGGTCACTAAAAATCCTGGACACTATGTTTTTAAGCAAAAACATTCTTTTTGGAGGGTGAAAAAGGGGTCAACAGGTTTCTATAATATTTGAACAGAATCTACACAGATTACAATTGATTTAACACATTTGACAATATCATATTCATTATACAGTCAAAAGTCGTTAATCCGGACTCATCGGGACTTCGGCGATTCCGGATTATCGATTTTTCCGGATTATAGATCATCAGTTTAAATCTTGTAAGACGGCATGCAGAAATTCTAAAATTAAAAATATGAAACTGTAATTTATGAAATAAAGAACAATTATGATCTAAAGGGTATCAAAATTTACAAAAAAAAAAAAGCTTAATATTTATTTGTTTACTTTATTAAACATTTCTTTTAATGTAAGTTGTTTAAGTTGCTTCATTTTATGTGATAATACTTTCTCTTTAATTCTATAAACAGACATAATTTCTTGTTCAGTTACAAAGTCCCGCTGTTCAAGTCCCGTTAATTGCTGTGCCGAGAATACCGACTAACTTGTCAATCGAAATTTTTTTTTTCACTAACATGTCACATTCTTCATGTCTTTTTATCCATTTTTTGCAGCAATTCCACTTTTTGTTTGTTGGACATCGAAACATACTTTCGTTTTGTAGATCCTTTGGAAGTTCCAGCATCGGAAATTCTATTTGACATAATCGAACGTTCAAGTTTACTTTTATAAAATTGCTCTTACAGTCTGCAAAAAATAATAAGCGGGATCCAATACGAAGATTAAGTAACAATGCAATCATTAACATTAACTGAAATAGATAATTAGATAATTTTAGCTTACACCGTCTGTTATACATTAAACGCGCAGGCGAAAACGTATTCTGCACTTGCGCACACGCATATGCGCAGTAGTCAAGGTCTTACGCGCACGTGTAAAACGCCTGTGCGCAGGTGCCAATGCAGCACATGCACAGAAAGTTTTTAGCTTTGAGGTCCGGATTATAGATCATTCCGGATTATGGGCGTCCGAATTAACGACTTTTGACTGTACAAGAATTTTTTCTAAACTAAGTTTTGTTTTCTTTTTTTCAGCATGCATACGGAATTTTAGCCTAAATATAAAAATAAATATAATAATTATTCATCATAATGTAGAAAAAAGTGTTCCTTTCGAGGGAGCACATCGTGGCTGAGTGGGTAAGACACTGGATTCGGAAACTGAAAGTCCCGAGCTTAAAACCCATCAAAGTCAAGTCACCTAAAAATTTATTTTGTTTAAATTTCCTTTCTGTTCCATTTACTGGAGAATGTTCTCCATTTTCTAGAACTTTCTAAGTCTGGAATGTTCTAGCTTGTTCATCAAGGGTATATACTCTTATTCAATTTGAATAATAAAGTCTTGAGTACTTTCCTCTTCATTTGTCTTAACTACTTCATATATGAAACAATAACATAATTATTGTAATGAAGTAAGTAATTATTATGATAATTTATTATTGTATCATTAATTATTAAGAATTTTTTTAGTGTGTAATATACATGCATTTTAGCTCAAAGATAAAAAAGATATGTAATAAGTATAATTATATCGTAAAATTACTGTAATGAATTAGAATTATAATATTATTACATTAGAATTCATTGTTATGATATTATAATAATGAAACTTATAGAATCAAATATGATAATTATATACTATTATACAATACTAGTTATTTACTATATTGTAAAATTATGTATACATAGCAAAATTAAGGTTTGAAAACACTCATATTTTTACCAATATATAAATAAATGCACAAAATTAAACAAAACGTGATCAAGCAGTTAATTACAAATGATGATCAGCATATCACCAGAGTCGTAGCTAGGGTTTTCAGTGCCCAGGGACAACTGAAGATTTCGTGCCCCCTACTGCTTGCCAAGGATGGAAAACATTTAATTCTAAAATGTCGTAACATCAGTTTGGCGCCCCTTGGATTCTGCGCCTGGGGACAGATGTGCCCCTCTAACTACGCCCCTGCATATCACTTTACATCACTTAAAAATAATTTTCTGCCTCCAAAAATCAATGTTCTTTAAATGCTAATAAAAGGAAAAAATGGGTGATCTTTACTGTATGGTATATCCCTTAATTTCCGTCTGAAAAAATCACCAGGTGGTATTGGTTGTTCGTGGAATCTGGAAGCCTGCTGCGTGAAATAGGTTTCTCAGTAGCCCTAATGGTACTTACGTATTATCACAATCAGGTTGGCGCGATTTGTAAGTTTGAGTAAAAAAGTATGAATAGAAAGAAAATGTATATTTATTAATTACAGAGAACTTTTAATACAGTTTTTTATATTATTTTGTTTTAAAATATAAAATAGCAACTAAACCCTTCCGGTTTCGAATTTGAAAAAGTTGCAGAATTATTTTTTTCGACGGAAATCTTTTGGCTATTGCTTTTAGCACTGATTTGAAAACCGTCTTTGCCATTAACAGCTTGAGCTTGGCGCCATATAAATTCGATAAGGTATGAGTCAAGATGATGACGGGCTGTTCCTCTCTGTTTTTTGTTGCGCCATTTGGCTGAGCCCCACATGCGCTCTACATGTTGTGTGTGAACGCCCGTGTTGGGATCCACAAAGTTATATTTGTGATTAACAGTTCCATGCAGAAATCCAGCATTTTTGAACTCACTTGTATTGTATCCTTTCCAGCAATCCGCATAAATGATGCTTCCTTCCTTGATATTTTCGCAAATTTTTTCCAGGAGGGTAACGGCGCTTCTGTTAGGTACAGTAACCAAAAACGTAATTAAAGTATTTCAGGGCATTCAATCTAACCAGTAAGAAAAATAATTTCTTTACGAAAAAACGACGTATAACACGTAGGGTTGCCGTAAGTAGGGTCACCAAATTTGGCGATTTATGCGAATTTTGGCCTGGTTGCGTTAATACGTAAGTACCGCCCTAATGTTGATAATGTTAACAAAACTAGCCTCGGGGGAAAATTTTTTAAAAAAGTTTTTGTCATTAAAAAGGGGTTATTTCTGCGAATATCGCCAAACGTTTTGTAATAAATTTAGATTTTGGCTATTTTTTTGTAATAGTAACCCTTTTGTATGAACCCGGGCTTTTGGTTCTTACCATTCTTTTCAATCGCTGTGTTCGGTTGCATGTGCCTGGTATGGTCGTATGGTCTTGAATTTTGAACCTGCTATTATTTTGCTGTGGGTACCATCATTTCAGTATGTTTGAGGTGGGTTAAGAGGATGAATGTTGATTAACAGTGGATGAGCTGACGTGGAGGATGGAGAAGATGGTGGTCGGAAGCATGAACGTATGCATATGAAAAAAGGTATGTTAAAAAATTGATGTTTCATCTATTTGTTCATCTCTATGTGTTAATTTTTGTTAAAGGATTTGTTGTTTAATGTTTTTATGTTAGGAAATATGCATCTTTGATTATTTGTTTCTGTCTGTTTGTATATTTTTTGTTATTTGTTCGTATCTGAGTGTTAAGACAGCGGCAAATATTTTCTGGCTAACATGATAGTTTTCACTTTGTTTTAGCTTCCTGATCTTGTTTAACAGAAAATGGATCGAAGTGTACATGGACAAAGTTAAGGCAGTGCACAATGCCTAGTCTGTGTAAGTCTTTGAGTTCTTTTTTTGGTTTTGCATAGTGGGCGGAAGGATCGACACCATCTTGAAATTGGTGCTGATTCTTCCTGGCGCCAATTTTGGCATAAAAAAGAGATGATTCACCAAGGCGTAACGTCCAAAAAAAATTATAACAGAAAAAAAATCCTTACTGCACAAGTCATGTCCATCCATCTATTCTGCGAATAAATTGGTCCAAATTGTGTATGCGTGTTTGTGCTCATGGTCACAGCTACCACAGTCAAACAATAGCTTACAATTTTGTTCCTCGTGGCACATCAGTTTGCATGCATATTTCACATAAGTATACTACTAGTCAAAATAAAAAGCATGATTAAAATCTAAGACAAGGTTCAAACTATCACATTAACCAGAGAAAATTCGCCGCTGTCTTAACGCACAAAAACACAGAAATAACCAAAAAAACATAAACAGAGAGTAATAAATAATCAAAAAAATATATTTTATAACATTAAAAACATTAAACAACAAATCTTTTAACTTAAAGTTCAACTTTTGTGAGAAATAATTTTGACAAAAGAGATGTCTGATAACAAATTGTTCTTTTTTCCCCCAATGGCAGATTGTCAAGAGTTACAGTGTAATGCAGTGAAAAAAATAACACACAGATATGAATAAATAAATGAAGCGTCAATTTTTTAACATATGTTTTTTCAAGTGCATATGTTCCGCTTCCCACCACCATCTCCTCCATCCTCCACAGAAGCAACTCAGTTAAATTTTTCGTTGTTTCAGCTCATCCGCTGCTAATTAACATTCATCCTCTTACCCACGTCACACATACTCAAATGACGGTACCCACATCAAAATAATAGCAAGTTCAAAATCCAAGACCATACCACACACGTGCAACCAAATACAGCAACTGAAAAGAATGGTAAGAACCAAAAACCTGGGTCCATATGAAAGGGTTATAAGCAAAATCTAAATTTATCACATTTAGTGATATTTGCAGAAATAACACCTTTTTAATTACAAAAACTAAAAAAAAAAAAAAAAAAAAAAATTTTCCCCCAAGGTTAGTTTTGCCAACATTAAGGGTTACTGAAAAACCTATTTCACATAGCGGGCTTCCAGATTTCATGAACAACCAATAGCACTTGGCGATTTTTCTGGTTGTCTGAAAATCGCCAAGGTACCATCAGCCAGAAGGATATTAACAGAAATATCTGTAAATATATTTTCTTTAACAAAAATATCTTTCTAATATCTGGATACAACCATGAGCAAAATTATTTGGTGATTTAGAAAGGGAGAAATCTTTGGCTGTATAGATTAATGGACTGTGTTACACTGTAACGCTTCACAATCTGCCATTGGGGAAAAAAAAAAAAAGAAGAAGAATTTGTTATCAGACATCTCTTTTGTCAAAATTATTTCTCATAAAAGTTGAACTTTCTAGCACAATTTTCAAACCTAAAATAATTTTCAAAGAAATTAATTTAAAATTTTAACTGTTTAACTGACTATAGTAAAAGTTGTAAGAATTATCAGTTGAAGGGAATAACACCTTCATGGAAGAAAATGGAAACTGGTTTATACTTACATTACATGTGGGAAAAGCCATATAGTGAGAACAAACCAAGACTGAATAATCAGTGTACATGGACGTGACTAGTAAGATATGTGATGGCAACAGGCATGCACTCAAAGTCTCAACATTATTTAAGTCAATGCGTATATGGATATTGAGTTTGTACATGGATACTAAGTGTGCACAATTCTTTGACTTGTTATTTTCAAGTTGGTGATTCTGAGAAATGCACGAAGGAGTGCGCATTTTCCCAGTTTGTTGCCAAGGATGTGAGCTCTCCTAGGATTTTACCTTATTTAATTATACTGTACATAGTTCCAGGTTGCAGTCATAGCAATAAAAAAATTATTTCTCAAATTATTCCTCATATAGAATGCACAAGTTTCCTTAAATACAAGTTTCTGTATATGTATAATGTTCTAGCAAGTTCCCTAAGCTAAAATAAGTTGATAAGCTATTCACTAGGACATAAATTTACTACTGCCTTCTTGAAAAATAACAATAAAAAAATTCTAATTATATTTCAAAGAAAAGATATGTTAAATATACATTTAAACACTAAATTATTATAGGAGTGATTAAATATTTGATAACCACTAAAAATAATTTATATTACTATCTAAGAATTAATTAAAATAACTTCACAGATCACATAGTGACTATTTAATATAACATATTCAGCACAAAATATCTTTGCTCCTTGAAAAAAACTGAGATTAATACACCTGTCTTCCAAATTTACAGAATTTCTCCATAACGTCACTTCAGGTTGAATTTCGTGTTACAACTGGCACACATTTTACGTACATTCAGCTGATGCTGTTCTCCCCTTCCTTTTCAAATTTTCGACCATAAACCATACAAATAACGTTTCCTGATCGTAATCTTTTTTTAAGCAGCATGAACACTTTGGATCACTACTGGAATTTATACGCAACAAAAAGCACGAATTGCCATTATTATACATTTGAATTAAAATATTTTCAGGTGCTACTTTGGTAGACGGTAAACACCTATTTTCATTAGAATCAATATTAAAAATGCGCAAATTAAAGAAAATTTTCGCATAATAATGGAAGACTGAATAAAACGAAGGCGACTGAAAATAGAAATGGGAACACGCATCAAAATATAAACAGTGACAGTTTACTTGAAATAGTAAAATACCAATCCAGTTCAAACTACACCTTTTTTCTCACCTAGATACGTAATAAGATGAAAAAATGACTGATATATTTCTTAACGAATTCATTGTTAATGAAAACCGAAAAAGTAGTTGCAAGTACCGGATCGACAAATCAAATTATTTACCTTTTCTATCTGTATCGGGCAGACGGCACTGAAGAGGAAAATCTTTGATGCTGAGAAATAACGTCCTTTTCATGGTTACTTCCTTGTCATAATTATCCTCAATTGGGCATTTAACATCAAACAATACCTAAGGCTATGTTGGAAACTAGTTTGCTTAGTTTTCTGAAAAATATATATATATAAATTTTTGCAACTTATAAACACATTATTTTTTGCGCTTTTAAGTAAGGAACTTATGTCTTGTTTTGCACCCGCGTGTGTTATTGTATTTCAAGCATTATTACATTCGGTTAAGGGCAAAGATCAATAAGTTTCGAAAGCACTTATTACATTTAAAAGAATACTAAGAAATGAAATGAAAAATAATAAGAAATGAAAAATATTTTGAGGTAAAAATTACTGAATCTGGCATGCATCATGTGCTTAGGTGTTGCTATAGAAACCCATTCTTCCACAGTTTATTTTTTATTATTATTTTCCAGGAGATTTGAAATGGCTTAGGCTAATATATATTTTTATTATCCGATATAATTTAACTAGCGAACGACAATAATCCTTTTACAGGGTATTTATTCTTCCTATTTTATTATTTATTTCCCATTTTTATCGAAACTGAAGTAAATTGGATTCTGGTTAATTTTCCCCCAATGTATCTGAATAAAAATTATATAGGTTATAGTTGTTACCGAAATGCTATTCACATTATTTATTATTCTTTTATCCTTTCAGTATATGTAATTAGTTTTCTCAAACTCTTTGTATTTAAATTTATTATTTTTATCATTTTAAAGTATCTATTTAAATGTAATTATTCATCATATATTTATTTAGATTCAGAGTACTTTAAGGTCTTTTTACGGGGACGTGGCTCTTTTAGTTTTAAATGCCAAGCTCTGACCTTTCTGTTCTTGTATGTTTATAAAAATTTACTTTTCCTACCACAGAGCATTTCCTACTAAAATTGTACATTTGCTGATTTTATGTCATTAAATTATTTAGTCAATATCGGAAAAAATTTTAATGAAGTGAAATGAAATATTCATATTTTGGCAGTGTCAGATTTAAAAAAATTAATTTTGGGGAAATAATGAAATCTAACTTTTAACTCAGTTCTTAAGTTTGGGAACATTTTATACTTGTTATGAAAAAATAAAAATACAAGAAGTTTGTCTCCCATATGACAAAAATTGACTGGATATTTAATTTCAACATTTGCAATTTTTTATGTCGCTTTCAATCTGCTTTTAGGTAACATTTAATGAAGTTAGAAGAATTCAAGGAAATAAGTTTAAATGAATTGCAACAAAAAATGTGTATAATTTAGGCCTTACGAGGAAGTCGTAATGTCCACATCAGATTTTTCTTATGAGACACCCGATATTCTGAACCTTGTAAGCAGGGCTGATTCCATGGAGAACCATCTAAGGTACTGATTTTTCAGAGAGCATGAACTAAGTTGTTCCTGCAAATGACAATTAAGTAAAAATATATTTTTCTCTGCACTGTTAACATATTTAATTTATATGGAACACTGATTCCTGACTGCCAAAAATTGGGGAGCCAGGCCCGCTTGTAATAAATTAACAAAGCAAGTTTAAGTTAAGTGGTAAGTTTTTAAGCAGGGAATGCTACAAAAGGGGAATATTTAAAAACATCAAATATTTCTATTTCTTTGCAAAGTTTTACTTTTTTCTGAACTTGAGTATTTTGTGTTTCAGTACTGCTAGACTAAAAGGTAACTAGCTTTAACTTTTAGGAGTCTGCATAATGAAATTTTTCATTTAGGCTATAATCTTCTTTAAATTTCAAGGGAGACTGTGCTTTGTTTCTAATTGCATCAATATAATATTGACCACTGTGACTGCAGAGTTTCTGCCGTTCTTTTAATTTTCTTTAAACTTCATGGCAGATGATGATATACTTTCTAATGCATTCATACAACTGTTGGTGTTCATCACCTAAAATCCAACAGTAGCTATTGTCTAACTACAATGATAAAAAGTATCCAAATACTATTCTGGAAGTCTAAATCAGTTGCAAGTGGTATCACCATAAAAATTTAAATGTCTACGGTGTGAAACAACAGGAAAAATAAATGCTGGCCATATCAGCTTCATCATTGCAACCCTCGAACCATAAAGAGAGTAGTGAAGAAAAAGCATATAATCCTTTGGCAGTGAACATTCAAAGTGCCTCTGGTATTGTTGCAAACAATAGGTAGTAATATGTGCCTCATAAACTTCTGATTATGCAGTAGTGGATGTCCAGATATTTTTGGCTGTATAATGTATCAAATAAAGGCAGCATGTAAGATACATATAGTATAATGTATCAAATGTATCAAATAAAGGCAGCATGTAAGATACATATGATGCATGTTACTTAATAAATTTTTGTTATGAGTGAGTGGACTTACTCGGTTGTTGCGCAGAAAAAAAGATGCTTTCTCTGCCAAAGTATAGTAACTTATGAGCAAAATTTATAAGTTTAGGATTTAACATAGTAGATATTAGTTTAAATTTAACAAAGTATTTTTGGGATTTAATAAAAAAATTGTTTTTACTTCTACTTGTATATTTAAATGTATTTTGTTAAAAATGTATTGTTTTGCTTCTGTGTTTAAAACCTTTGTCTGTATCCTTAACCTATATGTTCTATTAAATTTTATGTTACTTTAATTTAAATTTTGATAGATTTAATTTTTTATCTAGATATTTTGTCATCATGGAAGGGGAAGGAACACGTAAATTTTCTCGAAGGAGAACAAGTATCAATGTGTCAGCAATGTTGTATCCAGAGAAAAGACAATCTATTCTTCGTGATCCAAAGCTGCAAGTAAGTAGAAATGAATTAAGTAGAAAATGCTGTGACCTGCAGTTATTTATTTGATGCTTTCTTGTTATTGGGCTCCTAACACAGCCTTTTAAGATTTTGCTGCAAATATGTCAAATTTAAGTAGGGTTAAAATTTAATATCTGAGCATAATCAAAAATCTTTTAATTTGACAAAGATTGATCTTTCAGGCTTATGTTGTGTGGTCTGTGTTTTCAGTCACCCTAATATCTTTTATTTGCGTTCACTTAAAGCATATTTGGAGGGTTGCATATAATTAGGAAGGAAAATTTTAAATTTATTTCATAATTATTTCTCTATCTTATGACAAAGTGAAATCTGTACTAAAAACATTCAGATAATTTTCAAGGGAAAATGTGGAAATTGTTATACATTTGAGATTATTTTAAAATTGTTATGACATTTGAAATGAGTCTTTTAGAGTGCAAAATCATGATTTTCGTTTCGATTCAGAAGTTAAGGATAGAAGATACACAAGCTTGAAAGCAATTCTTCATCTCTTCCCCCCCCAAAAAAAAACTGGTTCTTGATCCTTAGAAAACCAAAATTTTTTATCTAAAAATTGAGTGAAATAAGATTGCACTTCTTAAATCTACAACTTTGAGATTTGGCTGATGTCAAACTACAGAAAATGGTAGACAATATGTATGAATTCCTAAGAAAAATCTTTTTGTTCTAGTAAATTTTACGGTTGATCTTTAGATTATGGTAACTTGGCGATTTTTTGGCCACCAACTCTTCTACAGCAACCCTCTATTTTTTTTCCCCGCCGGCATTTTTTCTTCACGAAGTAAAGACATGTTTCTTTTCTTTTTATCTACTGAACACTTCTTTCCAACAATCTACTAGCCCCGAATTACACTTATGCTAGAAATTTTATCTAACAAACTGCTTAATCATGGACAAATATTCACTGCAAAATTGGAAAAGGTGCACAATACCATACTCCTTACGCGTTTTTCAAAATAACACATACACATAAACCATGTACACGTCGACTTATTTTTACTTAAAAAAACATCCCAGAATTGCACAAAAATGGCATTGCGCACACTCTTCTCTATATCCATGTGCACTGCTTTTTTTCTCATAAATTAGAAAAATTTCACGAAAATACATGACAATTTTCTGAATCTTTAAACCCGGTAAAAAGAACATATATGAAATTACCTGATCGCGAAAAAGTATATACCATTTCCAAATATGAACATTTCCACATATAAAATAAATAAAATATCCCAAAACTGCCTATTATATTATAAACGTCACCAACGAATTCATACCGCAAGCATTACAAATACTTAGTGTCAAATATTTAAATTAATTCCATGCACGTTTACTTCAACTAAAACGTATACCAAATTCCTACAAACATAAAATTCACAAAAATAAACTATCATTTAATTAAAATATAATTAAATTCAAAAACACTACTTAAAATA